CCAGGTCTTAAGAGGTTAATCGACACAAAAAGTGACAAACAAACGACTGCCGTGACTTTTTCTTGGGTGGGGCAGCAGCTTCACTGAGGTGGCAGTTGGTTCAACTAATCCACTGCTATGCAGACATGAGAGTGATGTGAAACAAGGAAGTGCATCTTTCAAATACCTTAAACGTTTCTTTATACATGAAAAGTTTGTCATTGTGTCTGATGTTTAGCACCACTTTAAGTTGACACCTTCTTTATAAATGGTTTATAAATGGTCACCAATGCCTTATTACTGGTTAATAAATTATTTGCTAAAGTTATTTAAAAAATCAGTTTGGGTTGTCAGGATGTGGAAAAAAAAACACACAGACACACAAATGACCACTTGGACCTTGGACCAGACTCTACTCATACAATCACCTATTGTAGTGTGTTAGTTAATAGCTGCTTTATTACCAAGTAAAAGAGATAAACACTTGCTGGGGATGTTTTTCCCAGTTATGTAACTCATAAAAAAAAATCTATTAACGTCTAACTAACAAGGATAACAGTGTAACCTCACAACAGATGCTGCTTCACTTCAAAGTAAATCCTTCATACAGTATTATCACGACCCTGTGAACACAACCAACTGATTTTTTAACCTCAGCTTGAGTGTGATGGTGTGAAAAGAAACTGTACTTGACACGCCTCCTCCTGCCGCAGCAGCAGCAGAGGCCTGCAGCTGGACTGGTTGCTCAGGTTTTACATTTCTATCTCTCACATGATCGAGGATGAAAACACTGAATGCACTTAAGAACCTTTTGTGAGTTGATTTCATTTTGCTTCTTCCTGAATGCCATAAATGTCAACACATTTTATTCTTTGATGATCAGCGTAGTGATGAGATTACTGGTTTTGTTCTGAAGCTTAAACATGCAATTGAGCCTTGTTCATGCCACATTTTTCCATTAAATACTTTATGGGCTGTTTTCTTAACCAACTTTCCATTTGTCTTTATGGTAACATTTTATTTAAGAACATGACATGTCTATTATTAACTGGCAATTATGTGACAATGCATCTCGGGGGATGCTGCAGAGTAATGCAATTAAATGAGAAGTGCAACGAATTACTCTCTACAGGATAATAAGTAAAGTAACGCCTAACTTAAATAAAACAGGAACAAGTAATACTTTTTGGACTACGGTGATCATGTTGGTTGTTTGCAACAGATATTTGTTTTTGTAAAACACGCCACATACTGTACACCCTCATTCACATGTCTCACACTGGTTCTGTTTGGAAGAACGCTGCCGCAAAATGTCATTTGTTAAACTCCATGTCAGAAACAAGCTCAGTGGCATTTTTTTTTCTCCAAATTCCTCGTTGCGCCGACTCGAACACAAACCCGCAGTATGTCGCTTTGCTCGCCCTTCGTGCCAAATATTCCATTTTCCTTTCCTGTGTTTGATGTTGAAGTGCAAATGATTAAAACAGCTCGTGATTTGCCAACAAAAGTAACCACAATCCAGCTTTCTCCATTATTCAGGCTGACTAAGTCATTTAGGGGTTTTTTCTGCTTTTCCGTTCACTTTCCCACAGTTGAGCGTGCAGCGACAACACAAACCCATCACCATCTGCACATGCTTAAACCTGCTATTGTTATAACTCTTTTTTACACTAAAGTATCCCTGCAGGAGTTATCCTCTAATCCTGCCTGTTCCGGATACTTGTGTCACATGCACAGATGGTGTAAAGGATACAAATCAAACCAGACTTGTCTCACCTGCACGACATGAATATTAAAGCTCCTCTCTGCTAAGAAATGTGCTTTGATTACTGTTACTTTACTTGGATGTTTGACCTTTAAGAAGGATGGATGAACAGATACTAAAATGTCTTTTATTTTTAACATTAATTTGCTGAAGAGGAAATGTTAACCTTAAATGATTAGTCACACAGCTAATTAAATTCTGTAGCTCTCAGAGCAAACTGTGAAGTGAATCAGCTGTGACCACAAATCAAGGTTTTGGCAGAACTGGGCTGAACTGCAGGTAGACGATGGAAAAGTGGGTTTTCTGAAGGTTTGTGAAGATGCAGTTATCTGTTTCTGCAAATGAACTCTTCAATATACTTTTTTTTCTTTTTACCATCACAGTGTGTACAACTATTAATGCTACATTGTGTCTTTAATAACTAGATGAACCAGATGTGTGGATGGTTTTTGCATCTGTGCTTCAAATCCATCACACTAAGCTGTCCTTTATGAAACAGCCTTGTGTCATTACCTGCAAGCTTCTTCTTGGATGCAGCAGCTTTCTTGGATGCAGCTGGTTTTTTGGGTGCAGCCTCTTTGGTTTTACGTTGAGCTGGAGCCTTGGGTGCAGGTGCAGGATCATCTGACTGAGCTGTAAAGTTCCACAAATAACAAATAAATGATCTTCCGACCCTTGAGTCAACATTTCTAAAGGTCATTGCACTTGCATATGTATTTTATGTATGTACTTAAGTTTGATTGATATTGTCTCAGTAGACGATGCAGACGATGGCAAAGTGGGTGTTCTGAAGGTTTGTGAAGATGGAGTTGTCTGTTTCTGCAAATGAACAGAAAGTTATAGTTGTAAAATAACTACAGGATGTGGAAATCACTATTCTTCTCCTAGTGTTGGTAAGACCACTGAGAGCTTGTTGCACATGTTGATTCCATATTTTTCCATTTTAGGAAAATAAATAATTAAAGAAATTCAACTTTTGTGTTTTCTTTTTCAAGATTTATGACATTATAACTGTGTCATGCTGCACAGGAGACGTTTTCTAATTCCTCTACACGTATATTCATGGTTGTGTTGCGTCCGTAGAGGTGCATGACTTGATATCGCAGTGCAAAAGGGTTACATTAGAGAATGTAAAAATGTAACAGGAGCAAAAAAAAACCCAAAAAACAAAACATCCAGTTTAACTTTGGGTTCAGAGCTTAAATAAAATCTGATGTTGTAGATAAATCACACAGCACAAGAACGATTGTTTTTGATATGACCAGAAACATGCCTCGGGGGTTTTAACCCTCAAGGAGCGGCACAGGGTTGACATATTGAATCCAAGGAAGTTACCAAACATGGTCACGTGGCCCATAAAGGGTTAAGAGATTTCTGCTTGCTTGCTTTCTCTTCTGCTTTTCCTTTTTTAGTCGGTTATCTGCTGAAGACGCCACCACACACACGGAGTACATTTACATAAAATGCAACAAATTAATCTTCAGTTGACAAAACGCGTTCTGTAAGAGTATTTTCACTGTTTTTTAAAAACAATGATTAAAACCAACCTTCTTCCTGAGTTGGCACAAATTCTTGAATAACAGCATAAATCTGAGGATCCTGCCTGAGGGTGGCCTTGTTCCTTCAGAGCATCTTGTGACCAGTAGGTGGCAGCATTGGAGCAGAAAATGAGTTCGGAAACGCTGGCAGTCAGTGAGATGACTTAATTTGCAGTCACATTATTCCAACAGCAGCATCCACATTTTGGAGTCATTGCAGGGGCAGATGCTTTTTTTAGAGCGACGCACGACGCTGTGGCTGCTGCTGATTCCTCACCTGTTATGCATCACGTCTGTTCTTTAGGATTAGCTCACACTGAAACTATACATTGTCTCACTTGGCTGGTCCAACCTTGGAGCCGCATGTAAATGAAATGATCCGGTTCTTTGTTTTCAATCATTACTGCGCCATTTGCAGTTAGAGAAAGAAACGCGATTGTCTTTTGAGCAGTCGCAGATCCGAGTGGCTCATCTGAAGTAATCTAAATACTCTCCAAAGAAGCTTATTTTTGACTCACATTCCTCCCAGAAAACACACACACACACACACACACACCCCTTTCCTGCGGTTCCCTGGACGCATCATATATGCAGATTGCAAAGCGGTGCAGGCTCTTTGATGTGCATAGAACAGAATTCTAGATGTGTTTTATATAACCGCTCGAGAGGGAAGGAAGGAAGAGTCGAAGAGGATTACCGTCAAAACTTTCCCTGTTTCCTTTTGTCTGCCTGCGCTTCTGCCTTTTCATGTCTGCCTTGTCAAACTGGAAGTCTGCCTGTTTCTCTCTTTCTACACCTTCCTCCTCAGTCAGACCCTCTCTTTTCTTTTTTTATTTCCTTGCCTTTCCAATGCCTCACCCTGTCTTTTTCTGAATCCAGGGAGGCCTCACTGCTGGAGTCTGTCTCAAAGAAAATGTAGGTCATCTGTTTTCTGCGACTCCCTTCACACCAACACGGAGGAGGAGATGGAAGTGATAACATCTTTCTCTTCGTTGCTCTTTCCCCCTCCTCCTCCTCCTCCTCCATCCTCCCTCCACCTTGAATGAGACACTTCAGGGGCTCCCAGCGCTCTACCTGTGTCCCCTGCTCTCTCCTCCGAGGCTCTTTTAGCACACACCTCCAGCTGAGTGACAGCTCCACATGGAGCGTCTCTGAGCATGACACATTCTGCTCAGTCATGTAGGGACACAAATGGCAGAGATGCCTCCTTTTTTTTTGTTGTTTTTTTTCAAGGGAAAATTCAAGAAACATCTCTCTCACAGTTTGCTTTCTGTG